GTTTTCTTGTATAAAGGATCCCATACACTATACATCATGCCGTACAGCATTTATCATAGTATGTGTTATTTTTTGAAAGTTTACTTATGTATGTGTGACACACACAATGCATTAAGAAAATCAAAATAGTTTTGATTTTGAAAATGAACCCCTATCAATCTGGTGAATAATATTCATTTTGAAAGTTGTCAGTAAATAATTTTGTGTACAAAAATAATAAAATTGTGACGGAATAAAAAACAATTGAATTTACGACTCAAAATCGATGGGACAAAAATCGATTTTATGGGATAGTGATTGAAGAGTTTCCCATACACTAGTCAATCTCACATATACAAAAAGGGGTTCATCGGCATGACGGCATGATTTATAGTGTATGGGGCCCTTAAAATGTCAATTTATAAAGGAATATCAGAGTCAAACTTGATTTTGGACGCCGTTCTTTTATAACCAAATAGACCACGCCTGAAGTCCTCCTATAAGTTTAACCCTTTAGATAAACTTGTACTAACAGATTTCGTAAATCCACATCATATGAAGATAGAAAGTTATTGCATGCAATTTTCCGTAAATAACGGGGTTTCTTAAAAAGAAAATGGATTTGAAAAATTAAAATTATTCTGTAAAATTGATCTAAATTGTCTTCAATTTGAAGCATATTGCCCATGGTACAATTATAAAAGGTAACAGCAAATCCCAGCTGATTTGATTCCAACGTAATACTAGTGTCAATATGAATTTGACAAATTATGTTTTTAAAAATCACCCAACAGGAAAATTGGGACGGATACAATTTGAAATTGTTCATTATTAAATGTGCTCCCGTATTCAATTTACTCAATCTGCCTGCTGGGAAAGTTTCAGAAAGCAAATCTTTCTTGAAGGAATAACTCGCTATTCCCAGCATTTTCATATGTGTTACACATATATATGGCAATGGCTCAATTAAAGGAAAGATGTGGAAGCGATAGAAATATAAATTTGATAGATTTTCATTCATGTTTTTCAATTTTTATTTTGAGGATTCGAAAATATTTCATTTTCAAAATAAAAATAAATTGATGATAATTTGTTTGTTTACATTTTTCTGTCAAATGAGTTGACACTAGTAGAACTTACAACAACAAATTTCCATGTGGTTGTTGTATCGTTTTTTGTACAACAACACTTGCTGTTACCTTTTATTATTATACCATGCATATTGCCCAAAACCGGCACAATTTTGCGTAAAAGCGGATTTACATATAACATTTGATCATAATTAAAGGACGAATCAGGGTTTATTTCCTTAATCAGGCTAAATTTACCATACAAAATTAAATCATCGTGCGGCATGGTTTATTTTAAATCATGATCGAAATCATTATACAACTGAGATGCAACGGGGTTTTTGTGCGAACAAATACAACTCTCTCACAATGTACCAAAATTTGCAACCGTTTTCACATGTTGTTTGTTTTTAAATTTAACGGTTACCAAATACAAAAATTAAATAACAATTATTTATAGAATTTTTGTGTTTTTCTTTGTTTTTTTTTTTTTTTTTTTGAATTTCCAAACGATCGCACCATTGCAAAAACATTTCCATTGTTGTAATTCTTCGTTTCATGTTCAAATTGCAAACAAATATTTTTGCAGCAAATTTATAATTTTGTATGGGTTTATTTCCTTAATCAGGCTAAATTTACCATACAAAATTAAATCATCGTGCGGCATGGTTTATTTTAAATCATGATCGAAATCATTATACAACTGAGATGCAACGGGGTTTTTGTGCGAACAAATACAACTCTCTCACAATGTACCAAAATTTGCAACCGTTTTCACATGTTGTTTGTTTTTAAATTTAACGGTTACCAAATACAAAAATTAAATAACAATTATTTATAGAATTTTTGTGTTTTTCTTTGTTTTTTTTTTTTTTTTTTTTTGAATTTCCAAACGATCGCACCATTGCAAAAACATTTCCATTGTTGTAATTCTTCGTTTCATGTTCAAATTGCAAACAAATATTTTTGCAGCAAATTTATAATTTTGTATGTATACTAACAAACATCAGCTGATCCGTATTTAGATCATGATTAAAGGTATGTGTAAACAATTAGGGTGTATTTCTGGATTTCGTTATTCGAGTCGATTTAAAATCGTATATGTAAATGTACTTTAAGTTACCATACAAAAATAAATCATTTACTTTAAACAACGCCCGAACAAACCAAACCATGCTATACAATCCTGTTTTGTGCCAAAAAGATTAACTACACTTTTTGAAAAATATAAAATATATTTATATAATAAAATATATATAAAAAATAAATAAAATATTAAACAATTCTTTAAAATGCAAACACTTTTGACGTTTTTTCTTTCTTTTGTATTTTGATTCGCAAATTTGACAAAGAAAAATTTGCTAGCGGAAAAACAAGCGAAAATTTCAACAGATAAAACTAAATATTTGCCAAATAAAAATACATTATTTAGCTATTTTGCCACTAAACACATGATATGCGTACATTTTGAAGGAAGATATTTTTCTTTAAATTTTGAAAGCTGAATGCTGTCAAAGGCAATTTTATGAAAAAAGCGGAAACATATGATTGTATGAGACTACCTTGTATAATTATGGCATGCGCAGTAAGTAATAAAATTTATTGAGTCTTCTTTGGAGTCTTCTCGGAGTTTTGCACTTATTGGGATTGGTGTTGAGAGTTTCTCTCTCTCTCTCATTGGTAAATTGTGAATTGAGTTGGAAAGCATTACCACAGGTAGGAACAAAAAGTACGAAAAGGTACCTAAAATTCTACTTCAAATGATAATAAATCATAATTATCGAGAAATATTGGCCAGTATTTATACAAGTTATTTGCATAAATAATATATGTTATAATTTAAGCGTAAATGTATTCACGAATAATAAAAAAATCTACTTTTTGTTTTGGCATTTTTATGTCAATTCGTACCTTTTGTGAACAAAAAGTACGCTTGTTACAAAATTAAAAATTACGCAACTCTAGTTACTCTCTCAAGAGAGAAAAACTCTCACCACCAATCCCAATAAGTGTAAAACCCCACTTTGTTTACAATTTGTTGTACATCCTTATCGATAACAACAATATATATAATGTCTCGATTAACTGTCAAAGTGCGTAATTTCTACTTGAATTCGATGTACAGTGTTGCCAACCATGTGAAAAATTATAAGGAAACATTTGACAGATAATCGAGATAAAAACAAAGTTTTTTGTTTTGATACATCACCTTATTATTGCATCATGGTTCGGTGTACACACAATAAGGTGATGCATCAACACAAAAACCTTTGGTTTTGTCTCGATTATCTGTCAAATTTTTTCATATAATATTTCAAATGGTGGCAACACTGCACGTCGAATTCAAGTAGAATTGCCCACTTTGACGAATTGATAAATTGTAAAAGTATCAAAATAAAGTTAAAAGGTGTCGAAAACACATTACTGGTCGGTTCCCGTACTACAAGAATCTACTACTTTTTACTACGATAACGAATTTTCCTTTATGATATCGAAGAAAATACTAAAATCTAGTAGATTCTTGTAGTACGAGAACAGACCATACAAAAATTTTTTTTTTGTTTTTTTTTTCATGGTTCCGACTATGATGCAATAATAAGGTGATGTATACCAACAAAAACCTTTGTTTTTGTCTCGATTACCTGTCAAAATTTTCCCTATAATATTTCAAATGGTTGGCAACACTGCACATCGAGTTCAAATAGCAAGGTAGATATATAAGGTAGCCGCGTCGGCGAATTGGGAACATGATATTTCAAAATTGTTATCAAGGCGAATAAATATGAATTCGCCTTCTATTTTTCCACCAATCAGAACAAAGCATTTTTGGAGTTTTATAAAATATTTATTTACCTTATTTAAATTTGTGTGCTTTTATGCAAATTGTAAATTTATGAATTAAAAATAGCATAAAAGATAAAAATTATTCGTTAACGTAACAAGCATACCAAACAACATACATATGTGGAAATCTAAGGTTCGAAATAACCAAATGATTAAAATCGGGACGTACATATCATTGTATGGAATTGAACATAGAGTTTTGCAAGGAAATTTGCATTCGATAAAAAACCAAAATGCCAAACTGAACTCTAACAATGCTTAACAATAAAACTCCAGAATGTAGTTCTGGTTTCCTTTATCAATATCCTTAGCATATGTGTTGTCTATTCTGATGGTCTCATTTGAAGATTAACGCTTCGCTCTTCTATTATTGATATTGTTTGTAATATGGTATATAATGAAAGGATTTTTACGTGAAATACGCCGCCAATCATTATAGAAAGTCCAAAACAATAGATTCTTATAAAAATCCAAAACCCTCTTCTCTTGTAATAGTAATGGTCTTCCTATAGTAGTTCATGTGAAGGTATCCTAGACATGACTTATATTTTTTGTTTCTTCAGAATTTGTCTTCTTTCATTTTTAGTTTTTCTTTTTTTGACGGCGATTTCAAGAACAACAATTTTTTGTGGCATATAATGTTACCATCAGCTGGCTTGACACGGTTACCTTATTAATATACCTTGTCAAATAGAAATTACCCACTTTGACAGTTAATGAAGACATCAGCTGCGCTAAATGTACTACCTATTCATTGTGCCATGGTTCCGACAAACACAATATTCGAATACCGTAATCTTAGACGGGTAATCAATATTTTAACAACACACATTCACACTCAAATCAAAACAGTGCAACGGTGAATCGAACGGTGTGAGTGTAAATCCAATAGATAAGATACGCAATCCACCGATTGATTTCTTGTGTATCGCACAACCAACAAAAATTGTTTGTTTTTACGAACGAAGAATTTACCCAAAAATGTACATCTTTATTCCTATCGTAGAAACAGGTGGCGGCCGGTCGGTCAGTCAGTGCTATTCATTTGGTAAAGTCAGTCTATTCATTTGGTAAAAAATAAACTAGTAGTTGACTATCTTGACGAAAATGGATGGTCGGAGTAAAAATATTAGGCGAAGAGTAAACACGCCTAATGCCGATCAAAGTACAACCGATCCGCTACTACGGCAAACACAAACGGCTGATGAGGTGAGTTTTCGTTCGATACCTATATTTCATACATGATAGATTTGAAAAACTTAATTTGAATGATAAGATAGGTGTGTAGTAAGTCTAGATACGGGTGCTATTTTGAGGACAAAATATGTTTAATTATTAATTCGGTTATACTCGACTCTTTTTTATGATTTATTACAGAACGCGGGACTGAAAAGTATATTTGTCACTCGCAATAGAATCAAGTGGTATTGGAGCCCCGTGTTCCTTTCATTGTGGTTGATTCTGTACTTTACGGTTGCTATACCGGCATTTCATCGTCTGCCCAAACCTCTAAATATCAAAGATGAAGCCAAATATCCAGATCGGTTTATAGCCGAAAGAGCGGAAATTAACCTGCAGAAATTAATTGAGCTGGGACCACGGGTTGTCGGTAGTGATGCTAACGAGAAAGGAGCTATAAAATACTTTCATGCATATGTTCAAAAGCTCAAGAGTGAAGCAAAGGATGTTTACGAAATTGAAACAGATGTTCAAATTGCATCCGGCAGCTACGTACATTGGGAAATGGTAAATATGTACCAAAATATACAGAACTTTGTGATAAAAATCGGACCTAAAGGCTACAACGGGACATCGTATTTGTTGGTAAATTGCCATTATGACTCAGTTCCTAGTGGACCTGGTGCTGGTGATGATGGTGCAATGGTTGCCATCATGTTGGAAACTATACGTGTGTTATCGAAAGCCGACAAACCTTTGAGAAACCCGGTGGTTTTTCTATTCAATGGTGCAGAAGAAAATCCGCTACAAGCTTCACACGCATTCATCACACAACACAAATGGGCCAAATATTGCAAGTAAGTAGAGTGCAGTCTTCCTTTTTATTCTATTAATTACATTTTCCTAAAAAGGGCATTGATTAACTTGGATTCCGCTGGTAATGGGGGTCGGGAAATTCTATTCCAATCTGGACCAAATCATCCTTGGTTGATGAAGGTGGGTAAAACGTGCAGAACTCTTTTCTGTGAGTTTTCTTCAGCTGATTAATTTACTTTATAAAATGTAGCATTACAGAAATGCAATTGTCCATCCGTACGCCTCGACAGTAGCAGAAGAAATGTTCCAGAGACACTTTATTCCATCAGATACAGATTTTCGCATTTTCAGAGATCACGGAAAGGTGCCCGGTGAGTTGTCCATTTGGTATCATATAGTAAAGATGTTTACATGTACACATTTTGAAGTTATTTCATTACTCCGACAAATATATGTTAGAATGTCTACAATAAACACAACACTGTAAACATTCATTAAAATAGAAAATATTAATGATAAAAGAGAACTAGAAATAATCTTCACCATGTCAAAAGTTCTTTACACTGTTTACCATAAACCCACATTTTAAATTTTGTTACGTTCTAACGTAAATGCCGTTTAAGGTCTGGATATGGCTCATCAATACAATGGTTATGTCTACCATACACGCTTTGATCGCCCCGAAATTTTACCACGAGGTAGCTTACAGAATACTGGCGATAACGTGCTGGCCTTGGTGAAAGAAATAGCTAATGCTCCCGAATTAGAGGATACTTCGGTAAGTGGTGCATTGAATAAAGTAATACTTGTCAATTCGTTTTAATTCTTCAAAAACTTTTATTAGAAATATGCTGAGGGACATACGATTTTCTTCGATGTGATGGGATCATTTTTAGTATTCTACACTGAAACCGAGGGCGTAATTTTAAATATTGTTGTCTGTTTGACAGCTATTGCTGCTTGCGGATATTCCTTCTTCCAAATGTCAAATTGTACTGGTTTCAAATTGCGCCATGTTCTGAGGCGCTCTTTCAATACATTCTTTGTTCAGGTCATCGCCGTCGTAGTGGCGGCCGCTTTAGTTTTCATAATGGGCATATTTATGGACCTAATTCACCTACCAATGTCTTGGTTTACACATTCGTGGCTGATATTGGGTTTATATTTCTGCCCCCTGTTTTTCGGTTTCGCGATTATTCCTGCATTATATTTCCAATATACCAAAGATGTATGTATATCTGGCTTTATTGGAATGCAAATAGTTGAACGTTTATTTACCTCATTTAGGATCGCTTTCCAATGGGTTACCGCGTGCAGCTTTTGCTACATTGCCATTGTCTGTTCCTGTCAGTGCTGACCTTGCTTATGACGATTTGTAAGATTCGATCAGCCTTCATGTTTACCATATCAATTTTATTCTACACCACTGCGTTGATAATCAATTTGGCAACTAAACTTCACAATAAACGTAAGTCTCCTGCTGACCATGGAGTAAAACTCTTAAGAACGATTAAACAATTATGATTATTTATTACAGCTATGGCTTGGATGATTCCGCATATTATCTGTGGCATTCCACCGTTTATTTTTTATGCATATTTGTCACATGGATTCTTTGTTACATTTATTCCGATGACTGGACGTTTTGGAGCTTCTGTAAATCCAGATCTAATCATTTGCGCCTTTACTGTTGGTGTGGGCATATTGACGGGTGGTTTTATGGTATGTTCTACTCAATAACGATGTTAATTTGTAATTATCCAGGCTTATTGTATTTTTTTAGATTCCATGTTTGAATTTGTTCAGAAAATCTAAGACTATTATTTGCGCTTTGCTCGGCATAACGTTGATTTGTTTGGTTATAGCAGCCACTCCATTAGGCTTCCCTTACAGAGCAGAAACAAATGTCCAAAGGTTTTCTATTTTACACACACGTCGCACATTCCGCGATATGCACAACGAAGTGCGCCGAGTCGAAACGGGATATTATATTTTGCCTCAGGATAGACGGACATATTCTGTTAAAAGTAAGCACCATTATGACTCATATGTTGAAAAAAAATCAAAATAATCTTTATAATAACAGATCATGCAATTAATATGACATTGGCGGCACCAATAATGGACGATTGCGAAAAAGAAATGTTATGTGGGTTACCGCTGTACAATCATAGATGGCATAAGTCAAGGTTGGTTAGGATTTTTGCCCAGAGACTGTGACCCCACATGCTTTAAACTCATTTTGTATTCTTTTAGGGAGTCTAGTATCTGGATACCTGGACCAGACCCCTCGTTTGATCAGACACCTGTCATTAATATTACTTCAAAAAATCAAATAAGTAAAACGAAAATACGTTATGATTTTGAATTAACAGGTCCTGATCATATGGGTATATTTATACAACCTTTAAACGGAAGCAAGGTGATTGAATGGTCTTTCCATTGGACACCTTTGCGTATGGGATGGGAACCACCCTACTTCATTTATTTCTCATATGGAATCAATGGTGATCCTTTGAAATTTTGGTTGGAAATCGAGGTAAGTCATTAAAATATGCTTATATCGTTAGTTTTGGCTTATTTCTCTTACGTTTACAGAAAAAGGACGGTGATTGGAGTAAACCAAACGTAGAAATTGGTATAGGTGGTCATTGGAATCATCATGAAGATAAGCAAACCCCCGAATTTAGAAAATTCCTCGCCAGTTTTCCAAAATTTGTCGACCCAATTGCTTGGCCGGCTTCATATGATACTTGGATGTTTTAGTAATCCACTAATGTCCGATTGTTTGGTGTTTTCATAATTTAAGAGTATTTTATGTATATGTTAACTAGTTAATAAACTACAAATATATATGTATATGAAGTCCTGTATGTTATATGAGCACCAGATCTCATGTTATCGATGGATTAGTAAATAGCTATGAAGTAACGTCCAATGGAGTGATTTCGTTACTTTTCCTAATGAATGTTCTAATCGCCAGTTTTTATTATTTTATTACATATACATATCGTTTATGGTGGATTTTGATAAGATTTCGACAGCCTTTGCCCATTATATTAAAATGAATTTAGTATCGATTGAGGCGTTCGTTGGGTCAGTAGCTAAAATGAAAGAGAGCTTCGACGTTAATCCAGATCCCGAAGGATTTGTTAAATCTAAAAAAATAAATTGGTACTGGTCTCCCGTATTCTGCGTTTTCTGGTTTGTACTTTTCTACGCCGTAGTGATACCGAGTTTTTTCTCTTATCCCGAAACCAAATTGATACGTGACGAACGCCATCATCCAGATGAATTTATTGGGGAAAGGGCCCAGCTGCAATTGCTCGGCTTGTCCTCGATTGGGGTAAAACTTTCGGGCACAGTCGAGAATGAAGTTTATGCAATACAGTTTTTGTTGAATGAAATTGAAAAGATAAAATCGACATCGCGCCACGAGCTATATGATATTGAAGTAGATGTTCAATATTCATCGGGAGATTTTGAGCTTTGGGGCATGGCTACATCATATCATAATGTCTCCAACGTCATTGTAAAATTGTCGCCAAAAAATACACGAAGTAAATCGTATTTGTTGATAAATTCCCACTTCGATTCAGAAGTAGCGTCACCCGCAGCTGCCGATGCTGGAGTAATGATTGTGGTTATGCTAGAGGTTTTGCGTGTAATTTCCTCGTCGGAAAAGGAATTGAAAAATCCAATTGTCTTCTTGTTTAACGGCGCGGAAGAAAGTAATCTCTTAGCAGCTCATGGCTTTATAACACAACATAAATGGGCACCATACTGCAAGTAAGTTTTACTCTATTGATCGCACATTTTTATAAGAATATGACCGAATGTATAAATAATTTTAGCTTATATATAGCATTCAAAATTGATGACAAATTTAACATAAAAATTACCATTGTTGTTCTTGAATTGTAAGGGATTTCTCTATGCAGTTGATGTCCCGCCACTTTAATTACAATTAATTTATTTTAATAATTTACAAAATATTTGGGTAATAACAAATGTAAAAAAATTGCATGGGTGAGAGGTCCGCGATATCATCCTCTTTGGCTATAAAAATAGCGTACGACCTAATCTTAGACCTACACAATCTAAACACCACATTTTATCAAAACCGTTCAAGACATTTCGGAGGAATATTTATACAAACGCTGAGCCATGAGACTTTTCGATGTATTAATAAATGTATTTATATCTATATATATATATATTATAGAGCACTAATTAATCTGGACTCCACTGGCTCCGGTGGTAAAGAAGTTCTCTTCCAAACAGGTCCTAATCACCCATGGCTCATTAAGGTTGGTACATTCCATGGTACAATAGTACAAGGTATCATTTGCAAAATACAATAAAATATATAACAGTTTTTTTCATTTGATATAGTTTCAACATTTTGGTATATGACTTTGAAATAACATAAACTAAATTAATTTGTAAGCTGATATAACATACCTTGTATTATTATACCATTGTTCATATTAAGTTTGACAACTATTTGAAATTGCTAACATTCGATTGCATGTTGCAGTACTATAAGAAATCTGCACGCCATCCGTTTGCTACAACATTGGCCGAAGAACTCTTTCAAAATAACTTTGTGCCATCCGATACGGACTTTCGTATATTTCGTGATCACGGCGGCGTGCCTGGCTTAGATATGGCACATGCTCTCAATGGTTACATATATCATACGAAATATGACAATTTCCATAATTTAGAACGGGGAACATACCAAACTACCGGAGACAATGTGCTTGCTTTAACATGGGCTCTTGCAAATGCAGAAGAATTGACTAATCCCGAAGTAAGAATAAATATATCAAATTTGCTATGTAAATCCTGTAAAAAGATAATTTACTCCTCATCCTGAACTAATGTGTATTTTTTTGTAGGTGCACGCTGAGGGTCATGTGGTTTTCTACGATTTTTTGGGTTGGTTTATGTTGGCCTATACAAAGACAACGGGCACAATTATTAACGTTGGGATCAGTTGCTGTGCCATTATATTCATTTTCCTCAGTGTTTTTCTAATGTCTGGAAAGGACAGTAAAGGAGATGCCCAACCGTTTTATATTCAGTTTTTTGTCATAATAATTTGCCAGCTTATTACAGTTGGGGTTGCAGCCGGTTCCACGATTTTGGTTGCTGTTATTATTGACGCTCTGAGTATAACGCAGTCCTGGTATAGTGCGACGTGGCTAATTTTTGGTTTCTATTTTTGTCCCATGTTCTTTGTGATGTCTATGGGGCCTGGGCTATATATACGCTGGACTAAAAATAAGGTAACTTTTTTGGCCATACCTTGCTTATAAATAACTTATTATAACACACTTGTTATTTAAAACGAAGGATGATGACAGTTCTTATCGTATTTTAATGGATCGGACACCAAGCGAATAAGTTGACTCGAATTTTAAAATAAAAAATGAACAATTTGTCACTGTTATAAAATTGAGAGTTACACGACTAGTCATGGCATAACTATACGGTAGTCTCATTTAAGAAATGCATATATCAATTTCAAATAGAATGAAAAAAAAACATATAATGTTACGCATGGCGATTGGCAAATTTTCAACAAATTAAAAAAATATTTTTTTTGAAGCTGCACATTTTTCTCAAGATTTAAATATGAATGTTAAATATGAATGTGTTTAAATATGAATATAATGTTACGCATGGCGATTGGCAAATTTTCAACAAATTAAAAAAATATTTTTTTTGAAGCTGCACATTTTTCTCAAGATTTAAATATGAATGTTGCTATTTATATGTATGGGTTTTATAGGCAGGGAACTTAATAATATTAATAAATATAAATTATTCAAAAGATTTGCGTACATTTCGAGGAAAAGCAAATTTACGAAAAAATTGGAAACGTATGACTGCATGACGACTAGAATTTATATGAAACATAAATATTGACTCAGTATATTACATTGCATAAATATAGGATCTCACTACGTTTTTTATCCCATAGAACTCAATGCATCTGGACAATATCATTATATGTTTTATGCATGCCCATTGCTTAATTTTGGCTGTCATCTGTATGGTAATGACAGGCCTCGGTATACGGTCCTCTTTCTTTGTCATGCTGGCTGTATTCTTCTATACAATTTCAATAATCATAAATATGTCACTTTCCAAAATGACCAAACGTAAGTTTGCATATTCATTGCGCCACAAAGGAAATACAAATATATGTTAGAAATAATGGTTTGTTTGTTGCAGGGGATTACTATTTCGTTATTCATTGCATATGTCAAATAATGCCGTTCTGGTTTTACACCTATATGGCATTTGTGTTTCTGACATTTTTCATACCCATGCAGGGACGTGATGGTCCCACCAATAAACCTGAGTTGTTGCTGTCAGTCTTTTGCGTTATCTGTTCATTGCACTTTGCCGGTTTCATTGTAAGTATTTACGCATAGCTGCGATGTGGGCGGATGCTAACTGAATTCGATGTCCTCTGCAACTTTTTAGATGCCTATCTTGAATAAGTTCAAGAAATCAGAAGCTATTACCTCGATTTTCGCTGTTTTGTGTGTACTGTTTGTGATACTTGCTGCGACACCTGTTGGTTTCCCATATATCAAAGATGTCCATCCACAGCGGTTTTACGTCTTGGTAAGGATTTTCGCAAATGTATAGAACTGAGTTATGGATAAAATTGGAATATAAAGAATATTTTTTTTCTTGTTAGCATACAGAACGCATTATTCACGATAACTCGGGAATGGTGATTAAAAACGATACCGGCTTCTACGTTCAACCAGTGGATACAAGACCATACAGCTTGGATGACACTACTCTCGCGAATGCATTACCGCAATCTTGGACAGATGAGGAGTGTGCCACGGAAATGTTTTGTGGTTTACCATTGTATAGTTCGAGATGGAGAAACTGGATGTAAGGAAATAGTTTTTTTGTAGAAGTAGTTTTTGTAAATGTTTATATATTTGCAGAAACTCCACAAAATGGGTACCGGCCAGACCTCCTCATTTCGTTATAGCCACCGAACTAAAATTACTATCCAAAACATATCAGGGACCCACAAAGCTGCTATATCAATTCTCACTGAAAGCTGCAGATAGAGTAGTCATTTACATTGAACCACATGCAGGCAATAAAATAGTAAATTGGTCATTTAATCGAGTTCCTTTAGATGAGGGTTTTGAGACGCCATATTTTGCATATCATGTCTACTCCATGGACGAGACGCCGTTCCGATTTTGGATAGAAGTAGAGGTATGCTTACGGATGTTTTGCTTTGAATTGTATTTTTACGAGAACTTGTTTTACAGAGAGACGCTATACTGACCGGCCCCTCATTCCGTTTGGGCATAGGAGCTCATCTTCTTTATCACACCCATACTTACACTACTGAGTTCAAGGACTTTTTGACTTCATTCCCAGATTGGGCCTACCCCACTCATTGGGTTGCCGCCTACGAAAGTTGGCATTTCTAGAGCGTAGCTTGAAATATAGAAGACCTTGTTCAAAGTAAAATGGAAAACAAAATATACTTCAAAATGAAACACCCGAATTTGTATTCTTTTATTTAAATTTATATTTGCTTCGTTGCAATGTTTACGTTTGCACGATTCCATGCATTTTATATATGACGGACATTAAGTGGGCCATACACCTCAAACATGTGCGTTCGATCGGTGTGAAACTTGTAGTCCACACACGTCAAATGGATCCACAAAACTTAATTTCGTATTTATTTTTGAAGCGTGAAGATGGTCAGCGATAGTGATGATGGAAACAAATACCATAGATTCTAGGAATAACTAGCTGTGGTGGAATGCGAAAATCAAAAACATATTCTTAAAGCTTCAAGCCATTTTGACAACGTTATAAAAACAAATCAGGTTCCGTTGGGAAATAAATTCGTTAAATGAGCATCCAATGAAACGTTTGACATACTGAGAAATGTGGTCTCTTCTTTGGAAAACAAAACGTACAACAGAATTAACAATTCTGAGCAAACGAACAAGTTGAACACCATTATCTCCTGACACCACCTCCAAGCCATACAAAATTGTAGATATGACCAGTCCGGCTAACTTCCAAAATGTATCAATTCAATGTTTGCATAAAATAACACTACGGGATTTAAACTTCGTACACATGCAAAATTACCAAACGTTGTAACTATGAACTTTAAACGGCTTTCAACGGCTGCAAAAAATGATTTCGTCATATTTTTGTAATTCATCAGAATCTCAAAAAAAAAAAAAAACAGTCAAACTTCCCCCTCCACGATGTGTTTATAAAAGTTATTTAAAAGAATGAAATTAAAAAAAATAATAATAATCCTTAAACCATTACAAAAAGAAAGATCTTTCCAATGAACAACCTTAAAAATGCATTTATTTGCTAGACGTACTTATTTAGCTGGCTTATGACAGAATGGTTGTTCCATAAGCCGAGCTTGAAAAATATTCCCAAGCGCGTCGGTCTTGTGCACTTATTATCCCATTATAAAGGCAATTTTCCGAGATGTTGTCTTCTACTTGATCTTTTCATCGGATTCGGATCTTCCGGAAATTTTTTTCTCTCAAACAATCCAAAAGCTGCCTCATCTGCTTGCGCAAGTACCCACGTTTCTTTTGCTGCAGTTTGTGGGTAATTCTTTGCCATTGGGTGCCAAGGAGTGCTTTTCGACGCCGAGTTTCCGTGTTACATTAGATCGCACCATTGCTGCTACATTAATACGTCGGAGCATGGGTGCAAATAAGACTGATGTGGAAGAACTTCGCTTTTATTCGGATTATAGCAATACGCTCATCTACTGAAGTGAATCTGGAGACAAGGTCTTTTATTCTCCTATTAACCATAAATCCGCAGCCAAATTCATGTCACGTTTCATGGCAGCTATAATACTGGGCGTAACCATCTGATCTACTTACGCCGGTTTTATAGTTCTTATGGGTGAACTCGCGCCACATATCAGCTCACTATTTCAACGGATGTTGAAAGTAGCTATTTCAGGTGACACCGCGGGGAGGTCAGTGTCTACAATTGAGATGAAAGAGGGACCAAGATAAGTCTGGATTTCGCCATGTTAAAATCAGAGCCTTTGTTTGGTATCTATCATCTCCTATGTACTAGACATTATTATTTTTACTAAAATTATACTTTTGCGAATCCAAATTTGGTACCAGTTTGTACACATTAGTACGAATTTCCAAATCTTTATACATACCTGAATCCTACATCCCAACAGTGATCCTAACTTAAAATTTCAAGATTCCAGCGCGATCGGTTCACCCAAATCCACATTTGGTACCATTGTTTACACATTAGTATAAATGTCCATAATATTTTACATAGCCCAATCCTACATCCCAAAAGTAAACCTAAGGCCAACAGTGATTCTAACATCAAATTTAAAGATTCCAGCTCTATCGGTTCACCCAAATACAAATTTCCAAAACTACATCCATACCCCAATCCTACACTCTAACAGTAACCTTATTTCCAAATTTCAAGGTTTCCAGCTCAATTGGTTCACTTAAAAGTTAAATTGTACCAAATTTAGTACACATTAGTACGAATTTCCAAAATTTCCTAAATAGCTCAATTCTACCCCAAAAATGATCATAACTACTAACGTGAAGCTTCTAGCTCTATCGGTTCACCCAAATCACAATTTGGTACCATATAGTACACATTAGTACGAATTTTCAAAATTCTCTACATACCATAATCCTACACGCCAACAGTGATCCTGACTCCAAATTGCATTGTTCCAGCTCTATCGGTTCACCCAAATCCACCCTTTATATGCGACGGTAATGTTAATTTAAATTTTCAGCATTCCAACTCGATTTGCACCTCCAAATTTACCGAATATAGTATCATATAGTACTTTTCGTATACATAAGCACACGCTTCCAAAGTCAGCTCCTTATATTGACCCTGCTTTTCAATCTTGATTTGCATTCCAAATTTTAAGTTTTTAGCTTTATCCATTCACATGCTACGAAATTGTACTAAATTTTAGTACTTTTCGCATACTTATAGTTCGAATGTCCAAAAAACCCTTTGCCATCTCTATTCTACACTCCATCAGTGACCCTCATTTAAAATTTAAGAGTTCTACCTCTACCAGTTCGCCAAATACAAATGGTATCACGTTTAGTACTTTTCGTACCGTTCTAGTACGAATTTCCAATAACCCAGCCTTTGGACCAAGAATGGCCTTTGGACCAAGAATGGCATCAGTAGGCTCGTTTTTATATGCACAACATGGTCTAGCCCCCGTAGACGCTACAGCTCAATACGACTGACTATGTTGATGTCCGCGTATAAATGGTAAAGCTCGTGTTCATTCGGCGCCGATATTCACCGTCGACGCAGATCGGCCCGTAGAACTTTCGGAAAATTTTTCTTTCAAACACCCCAAGAGCTGCCTCATCTGCTTGCGCACGGGTAGTATCAGCGTCTTGTAAAGTGTAAGTTTGGTCTGGCGGGTGGTGGCCTTGTTTCTAAACTGCTTACTTAGACCATAGTAGCATCTGTTGGCCTTCTCCGAATTTCAAAACTGATGACATTCGTTTTAGTTATGGCGGTACCAAGGTGTATAGTCTTTAACTACCTCGAAGCTGTAGTTCTCAAGTTCCACAGTTGGTCCGAGTCTACTGGACGTTAGCTTGGTCTTTTCGCCGTTTACTGCCAGACCCACTTTGGCAGACTCCTTTTCAATTTGTTCAAAGGTGACTGTTACCGCTCGCAATGTTCAACCCATTATATCGATGTCATCGGCGTAGGCGAGTAACAGTGTTGTTTGGTGTACAGAGTGTCATTTCTGTTCACCTTTGCGTCTCGTATGACCTTTTCCAGCAGGACAAACGACAAACTGTCACCTTGTCTGAATCCTCGTTCGGTATTGAAGGGCTCCGATAGGTGCTTTCCTACTTTAACTGCTGACCTTGTGCCACTTAAAGTTATCCTGCATAGCCGTATTAATTTTGCAGGAATGCCGAACGTAGACATGGCTTTAAACACCTCTGTCGAATGCGGCTTTATAGTCGACAAATAGGTGGTATGTGTCGATGTGTTTTTCGCCAGGATTTGGCGCAGAGTGAAGATCTGGTCAATGGTGGGTTTGCCAGGTCTGAAGCCGCATTGGTATGGTCCGATGATGTCATTGACCATTGGCTTCAATCGTTCACACAGCACACTGGATAGCACTTTATATGCGTTTGGAAGGAGACTTATTCCTCTATAGTTGGCACATATCGTCTTGTCTCCTTTTTTGTGCACGGGACACAGGATGCTGAGGTTCCAATCATTGGGCATGCAACATTAGGATGGGTTTTCCGAGAGTGGGCAACTAACCCGACGCCTCAACCCATTTTGTTATAGTTCTTATGGGTGAACTCGCGGCACGTATTAGCTCACTATTTCATCGGGTGATGAGAATAGCTCCCCAGGTGGCACCGCGGGGAGGTCAGTGTCGACAATTGAGATGAGAGAGGGACCAAGATAAGCCTGTACTTCGCCATGTTAAAGCCAATCAGAGCCGTTGCTTGGTACCTATCATCCCCTACGCCACCCACGATCAATATATATTTTGGAATTATCCTCATCTCTCAATCATAAAATTCCACAAGTAAGGATTACACTAGAATATAGTCCAAATAAGTGGGCTAAGTTGTTAAGAAAATTATTTCTTAAAATTTAAATTTTTGTATATATTTTTTACAAAAAATATTGAATAAAAAATAAAGAATAATGAATTTACTAAAATTACAATTTGTTTTTTTTTACGGATACAACAAAAATGGTAAGTATACATGCTCCTACGCATGCGACATACTGTGTGCGATGACGTCACAATTTTTCATTCACCTGCTTGTATGCATTTTTTCGTAAATTTCACAAAAATACCAGGCGCCCAGAAGAAAATAGAAAGAAGCCCGCCAAAAAAATATATATAAAAAATTGCATCTGGCAATGCCGTACAAGGAAATTACAAAATTTGTAGCATACTTTTAGGCACTCTAATTTTTTCGTGGGTTGGGTGTTGCCAGACCAAAATTTTTCGAAATTTTTATTTTTGGCGGGCAACTTGTACTTCATTCTGGGCGCCTGGTATTTTTGTGAAATTTGAGCATAATTGCACCAACTTTTTTGGGATTTTTTTTTTCAAATTCATTGGGACCCATTATTGTGACATTAGGCATTATTGTTACTAAGAAACTAATATTGTGAACCCCCACTAAGATATTTTTTTAGATGCCCATAAATAGACACACATTTTTTGTATTTTACTTAATAGTACTTAATGGTAGTGTAGAGGTACAAATTGATGAACGATGTCAGGCTCAGCTGGATATTTTCTTTCAGAAATTGCTCAAACCTACCAGGCATCCAGAATAGGTAGATAGAAATTTTAACTAATTTATTTTAATTGGCGGGCTTTTGGTTCCGTAACATATACCAGGTTTGATAT